ATTGCCATGTCGGAAAATGTAATGAGCATTGGTATTGATTAAAGTTCTTTTGATGGCAAGCAATTGATTCTAACTGAGGGTACGTCCAGGGAACAGAGAAAGAGCTCAACAACCAAGCTTGGGGGGAAGAGCTTGAGAAACTAGGGTAATGGTAAGAATGTCAGCATTAGAATTATGTGCCCTTTTATAGGGTGCCACTATTAAAGTGTTTGGTTCCAATGGCTCCCAGGTCTTTATTTTTCATCCTGTCCCTGGGTCTGCCTTGCAAATCTTACGTGTTCTTTCAGACTCCCAAATGAAACAGGAATTCCTCTGTGAAGGCATTCTGACTTGTTCAAGAATTGCTGATTGCATCCACCTTTGAGCTAGAAGTGTACCAAATACATATCTCTATTATTTTATTATAAGATACAGTGCAATTACAGTGATCATAGGATCTTTTCTCTTTCTCTAGGATAAGAGATATTTATGGGAAAAGGCAGTGAATTGTTTATCTAGCCACAAAGCCTGTGTAGCCCCTCTGTTTTTCTAGCTTTCCCCCCCAGTGTTTTCTGTTTTGCATTTTAGTTTTTCAGGTGTTTGTTGAAATAGAGTTTAGAAATTTAGATAGCCTTGAATTCATAGATCACAAAGTTTAATTAATGTGATATGCACACAAATGTACATGGCTTGGCTTTAATCAAGGTATCTCAATAGAAGAGAAATGATATACAGGCACCTGCTTATATAAGTGTAATTTAAGAGAAAGATCCTTCTGAACCTCATATTACCTAAACATGTCTGTATGTAGATGTATATTTTACATTTAATTCTTTTAAGTTTTAGTTCTTCCTGTATATTAAGTTTGACAGAATTTTAAACAAAGCCTAAAAAATCATTTTATTTTACATTATACCTTAGCAAAGATGACAAGCATTGTTAACATTTCATCATGAAGAGGATACATTGGCTTTATATTTAAGATAAGAAATCATAAAGTTTTTTGTGTCATGCTAACTGACAAGACATTTGAAGTGTTGGTAACAAAAATAAACTAGAAGAAGCAGAAATATGTATAGAAAAGTCAAGATAAATGAATGGCAAAGAACAAAATCATTTGCTAAATAATATAAGAAGCTAACTTTTGTACAGGGCTATAATTTAATTTAGATGTGAACCCAGAATACAGAAGGATTCTTAGTAAATTTTTATATCTGTTAAATCTGTTAATTACTGTTATTGGCAACATCAGACACACCTCTTTGTACACACCAATGGCCACTTCCTGAAATACTCTTCCACCTTGAATTTGGTGTATCACATCCTTCCAAGTTCTATGGAAGTGCTTGTCATGAAAAACAATTGTTTAAGCACTTATTTTACTTGTGAATAATTTGTGAAGGAAAACACTGTGTTAATGCAGTAGTTAGGATACTGCTAAAAGCTGTAACAAACAAGTGACAACTTGTAGTTCAAAACAGTATCATCTGTGTAACAGTTTACTGTGGGTATTCCTGATAGAAGTGTGGTTTCCTTCCACGTGATGAGTCAGGGCTATGATTTCTTCCATTTTATTGCTCTCTCATTTCCTAGGGCATTGGTATTCTCTGCATGTGGCTGGCAGAGAAATAAAGAGGGGTAAAGAAGGCATACCTATGTTTTAATCATCATTTCCCAAAGTGACATGTATCACTTCTTTCTCATTTCATTAGGTAGAACTTCCTACCCTACTTAGATGTGAGAGGAGCTAGAAAACACAGCCCTTGGCTTACTAGATGCTTACTGGCAACAGTTCTATACTAGTGAAAGCATGATTTGTGATGGATTATCTGCCATAGTTTTGTTACCCTTCCTCCTACACACGGTAGTAGAATACATTCACCTCAACTCAAGAGAAACAGCCCAAAGTCACATTCTGTCTTACAGGCGGGCCAGCATCTGCATGGGTTTAGCTATGGCTCTTTGCAGCCCAGCAACCTGTGAACTAAATTTCATGATAACTGCCTACTACTCCACTCTCCCTCCCTATTCTGCTCAACACAAATCCAATATTTAGCAGTGCAGCAGGGACAGGAGAGCCACAGTTAAGTTTCCCACTTAAAAATAGGAAAAATGAGAAACACACAGCAATGATTGTCCAATGACAATGATGAAGTCCTTACCAGGCAGGCACTGTGAAGACACCCTGCTCTGGGAGCTTTCAGGATCTCTTGATTAGACCAGTATTATGTATTCTGAAAAGAACTCCTTTGTCCTTTATTCTCTGTGGTCCTTTGGGCTCTACACATTGGGAGCTTCTTCCTCGTCTATTATTATTCATGGTTAAATTACATAAAGGAATATGATCACTTTTTGCTTGTGCAGTTTAGAAACTTGAAGACTATTTTACAGGCATTTTTAAGACTAAGTTCAGGATTTATTTGCCAAGGCAGTTCTCTTAGAAACATAGTAGATTTCATATCTGTGGTCCTGCATTTGTTGCATGTGCTAGTGTTTATACCTTAATCAGTCAGTCTGTCCAGAAAAACAGAAACAATTTCAGGTCTTTTAAATGGAGGACACTTAACACAGGGAATTAGCTACACATATGATAGAACAGGGAGGCCAAACAGAGGATGGTGAATAAACCCAGCAATTAACAAAACCAGGAAATCACTAGGGATAGAAGGACGATGGGAAGAAGTGGTATTATCAGACCTAAGAGTGCTGATAATAAAAGACTATGAGGTCTTTGAGTGATCTGAGCCATTCTTATGTGCCCCCACGCAGTGAGCACTCAAATGTTTATTTAATCGAACAGAGCTGAGCACTAAATCCTTCCACTGACTTCAGTTAGCAATACACACCAAAAAAAATAAAATGTGGCAGAAATGACTGTATTTGATATTGGGATAAATCTTTAGTTTGTGGATTGGCTCTAATTAGTTACTTTTGGGACCTTATTTAGTAACCTATCATCGGCATTTACAGAATGAGAAATTGTTAGAAGTTTTAATTTAAATATTCTCCTTCTGTATAAGACTTTTTAGGGTTTGGAATAATACCAATTTTTATATAAACATAGAAGGAAGAATTAAAAAGCAATAAAGTCTGTAGGTGGCTCATGCCAAAATATTTTTTTTTTTAAAAGTGAGGAGGGGGGAGATGGGTGGGGAGAAAAAGAGAGAAAACCTTTCCAGACTTGTCAGGAAAATAGCAACTGTAGCTACAGAGGATATGTAGCTCTATCTTAGTCTTCGATTCTTTTTTGGAATAACCTTCTAAGTTGATAATGACATTCCTTTGTCTACTGATGTGAGCCAAAGCTATCAACTTATTTTTTTTTACTGTCATTTAAGAAAGAATCTGTAAAATATTGCATTGAATATTTTAGCAGTCAAAATGAATTCTAGAGTATGATCCTAATTTTGAAAACATCACAAATGCCACTTGAGTCTTTTCTTGGATGTCCTTTATATGCTTAAGGGTATAGATATGCTGATCTCAACATAGCTGTCTTTTAGGATGAACTTGTAAAAAGTCTCAAAATAGTAGATACATTTAACATCTTGCAAGTTGAGAATAGTTTGAGAAGCTTTTATGACTATGTTGTCTTTCCTAGAGAGAAAGAGCCTTGCTTGAATATTTCTTGGTGAATTTCCACATATACATGGAAGTGAAGATTAGGGGGCGGAATGACAAATTGAGTTGCCATGTATGCTTTAAAAACATTTTACTATTAGAATCTGAGAGTAGAAGGCAACCTCCTTAAACTGATAAAGACATTCTATGAAAACTTCAGACTGGACTTTGTTTTGTTACATTAATGTAAAATTATAAAAAGATTACAAAGAAATAATTTTCAGTTTCATCAATCCCTTTGTATTGCCTCAGGGTCTATGTACAAGAATATATGTTGGGATAACAAAAGTATCCATTTTGTTTGTGGGGAAAAACATTTTAGCCTTCTATTCTTCCACTCACATATAAACTTCAGGTTTATTTACTTTTCACATGTGTTTAAGGAAAGAATGGCTTAAATATAATGCACTGCACTTCATATCTTTGTCTTTCAGGCTATAATAATCTCATTGTAAAATACCCATTAAGGCTTCACCTGCCACCTTGGGGCCACATGTGGCCTTCTGGATTCTTGAGTGCGGCCTTTTGACTGAACCCAAATTCAGTTTGGATCCCGTCAAGGGACGAGGGGCTGCACTTGGGGATCCAGAGGGCCACATGTGGCCTTGAGGCCACAGGTTCCCCACCCTATTTGTCTGAAAGATGTCATCACTGACTAAAAAGGGGAAAATACATTGTTTTATGTACACGGCACTTAACATCTGAAGAGTGGGCTTTTCTTTCCTGAGTTGGCTTTGTGAAGTGAAGGGATGTAAAATAATCACTTGGTAATTTGGCAGTTTTATTAAAAGTAATTACTTTGTTTCAGTCATTACATCATCTGTATAGTTTTAAAAACATATAGTCAGGAAGAAAATCCTTCTTTGGTATTGCTCTGGAGTATAAAATGTGCTATGATCAGTCTTTGGCATCTCTTATTGAGTTGATTTTCTGTAACACTATTTCTTAATGAAAATATTAAAACATGAGGCATATCCGTGCTGCTTCAAATAATTGGTTTGGCTTTTTAAGCATGTTATCTGTAATTTCAAAAGAATATTTCTTTCAGAACTGCTTTGCCCTGAGGAGTTTAGAGTATCCTTCAAATTATAGGTATCCATTAAGTATTTTTCAATGTCAATTCAACTGTAGCTTGTTGTGGTATTAATTCATTATGAAGTGACACAGGAAGAAAACTCATTATGTGATACTGTGAAAACACATATTTGTCAAAAAATAAATGAGTCTGTATTGAAAATCTATCTGGCATGGTGGGAGGGAGTCAAATGGTTTATTAGATACGTTTGGGCGTCGATACATTTTTCTCAAACAGGAAAACATATAGAAAATATTTCATTTCCAATCTGTAGACACTCTGCATCATGCACTTAAATGTTTTCTTTTTCTTTTTTTTTCCCCAGGTGATATTATACCCAACTTCTAATAGCTCCAAGTCAGCTGAATTACACCAAATGATAGTTCCAAAAAATAGCCAGGACTCTGACTTAAAAATCAAACTGGCAGTGCGAATGGATAAACCACCACATATGAAGCACAGTGGGTAAGTGAATATATGAGGATTTTTCCCCTGAATTATGGAATTTCATTTCTATGTTATCATTTTTGTCAAGTTAGTGGGAGAACCAGTATATCAGGCTTTCACATGGAGTTTTCCCAAAAACTGACATCTATAGGTTGTTTTACTTAATTTTTTAGACCCATAGATGTATTTATAACTAAATGTGTGGGTACTTAGTTAATATAACTGCATGCTAGCACAGTATTGCCACTCGATTGTATTGGTATTATGCATCAGTCATAATGATAAAGAACACTAATGTATGGAGATAAATTCTAGGAAATATTCTTCAAAATACACTAATAGCTGGAACAAGCCTAATGTTGAGGTCCTCAGAAATAGTTAAACATACATAGAATATATAAAAGCTGAAAGGTGGTTCAGATATAATCCAGAAGGCTATGTAAGTTTTGACAGGAGGGATATGAGTGTTCATCCAATGTGCGAATGAGAACTGAATCAATGCTGGAGGAAACTGCCGCTGACAGATAAACAAGACGTGCAGGGACTGTCTCCTGGGGACTGTCAGGGGTCAGAGTCAAGGTTCTTCACCGCCAAGATCCTTTGTCTCTTGCAGCTGGTGAGGAAACAGTTCTGAACTCTTGAATACAACAAAATGAGTTTCCGAAAAGCCAGGTCTGTCTCACAGTAACACATTAGGACTTACCACGCCAAATTCCAGCATAGGGGTGTTAACCATTAGAAAAGGAATATGACCACTTTTCTCACTGTGGAGAGAAGCAGTTGCTAAAGTGACTCACCATGAGTTTAGCCACAAACGTAGCAGTCTTAGGAAAGTGCGTTCTTGTAAAGAGAGGAATCTGCTGGCTTTGGAGCTAAATCACCAACATTAGGGCAGACCTAACAGGTGATTCAAAAGATAAGGAGGATTTTTTGGATGAAAAAAACAGCATTAGGCTCTGGGCAGGAGGCAACCAAAGGTATATAATACAGAGGGATGGGACTAAGGACTGTATTGCTTCTTGGTTTGGGTGGGCAGCAGGTGCAATGTCAGAAGAACCCTCATGGAGAAGAAAAAGACCTGGGAGGGTGGGCTCTTAGAAGGAAACAGTAATTTGGGTAGCCTACATTAGGCATCTTCAATGCAGTAATGCAAATTAAAGTATAACTGTGACTCAGCTCATAATGCAGATGGAGTTCCTGGGATTTAATATTTATGTTATGCATCCATCTACGTGTCCATCATTAATTTATGCTGTGGGCATGTATGAAGCACTTACTTGTTTCCAACCAGGACAAATCTCAGTAAGATACTGTCGCAGGCTTAGAGGAACTGGCTGGTCAGGGATTTAGACTTGTATACAAATAGTTATGGTAGTGAATTTATGTGCTAGAAGACAGGAATGGGAGCCTGGCAGATATAATATCTGATCTTTGCTGGGGAAGGTCAACAAAGTCTCACAAGATACCTAGCTTTTGAAATGAAACTTGAAAGATGAATTTATTAGGTGGACAGTGGGGAAAAATGGCATTCCAGTCAGTCACATATACAAAAGGCAGGAGTCCTGGAAGGGCTTTTAGTTAATGATGACAAGTTCAGTGCAGCTGTCATGGAGTGCTTTGAGACTAGACAAAGTACTAGAGCTCTAAAGTGCTTAGAGACTAGTAGAGTCCAGAGTTAGACATAAAAGAACACAGGAACTGCAGTTATTTTTCTACCACTTTTTACTCAGTCCTTTTTTCTTCTGACAAATGACACAGTAAGAAACAGGAACCTATCTATCGTAAGGAGAAGGATAAGATAGCCCTTAGTTTACCCATTGCCAGCACCACAGTGAATAATAACCCCAGATTCTTCAGCTCGTCCCAGGATCAAAGACTGAAATGAAGTTAGGCATTGGGCAAGTTCTGAAGCCTTAAGCTGCAGTGAGACAAAAATCCTTGCTCTAATCTGGCCATTTCTTGGTTTAGATGCTTCAGGGCAGGTGAGACAATCCAGCCCCCTTACTAGACTTGATTTGGGCAGGGGAGGTATCACGCCTGTACACTCAAGGAGAATTCGTTTTTTATCACATCTCTTTGACTAATTCAGGATCCCCCAAATGGCTGTGCAGTTGGCTTATGCCCAAGACTATAGATGAAGGGAAAGATTAAAGATGGGGTATCATAATCCCTCAATTTGATCCATAAAGCTCAAGAATTCCCTGAAGGATTCAGACCAGGAATGCTTCATATCTCAGTCACGTCAATTGTTATCTGCCATTGCAAAGAGGTACCAACAGGCATTTCCAGATATTCATGTATCTGCAGTTTATGATGTCAAAAGTGAAGGAATTCTAGAACTGAAGGTATTGGTGATGCTGTCCTGCTAAGTTATGTAGCAAAATTAAATTAAGAATATCATATTCCATAACAGTGATTCAATGAAAATTATTTTAATACTAATATTTGACATGATCTAACAGAATTAAAGGTTTTCAATATTGCTGTAATAGCAATTGATCCCTATGGGCAGGAACAGTTAGAGGTACTTTGCCATAGCATCTGTTCTGGTTTCTGAGTGCCCATATGGTAACAGTTTTTAATATTTTGAATATTACCCCTGAGTATAAATATGTATGGAAAACATGATTTCACCCATAGCCTAACTATATTTGTAATTTTCTGAAGTGTTTCACAAATGAATTTTACTTTACTTAATTGTGTTCGAGAAGAAAAAGGCAGCTACCCTTTCTTCCAAGTACTCTATCATACACCAAAGCAATAATATAACAGAAATAGTAGATTAATATCATTTTGTTTGGAAGCTAGATGGTGTTTTGTTAATAATTCATTCTATAATGAATAATTAATTTAAAAAGAGACAAGCCAAGTTTTTTTTAAAAGATTATCTTTAAAATATCACAAACTCTTCTTACAGTTGTTAAGTGGATTAAACAATAAGTTGTAGGGTTATGGATTTTTATCTTTAGACCACTTTAGACTTTGAAATCCTTTGGGACTTCAGTAGTGAAAACGTATCCTCTGTTTTAATAATGTGGCATCAAATATATCTAATGTGAACTATTTTAACATATATTCTCTGTTTTATTCATTATCACTTATCTATAGCCCTTGCATTGCCCCTGAATATTACCAGCGTTATCTATATTTTTGTATGCATTTCCAGCTGCGCTGTAAGTTTCTTAGACCTGTTTGGATTCGCAGTGCCTCTCACAGTATATCAGCAAAGGTAGATATTAGTGTGAATAATCATGGAAATAATAATAGTGTTCTCCTTAGAGTTTTAAGAAAAAAGTAATAAATATGAGAGTAAGATACATTCACAAATTGAAACTTAAAAGGTTCTAAACACAATTTACAGGGAATAGAGTATAATTTTAATATTAAAAAGTACCTAAAATAAATGAAATAATTGGTGTTTGGTTCTCAACTGTTGCATTTTTAAATGCCTGATTTTTTTGAACCAGGAGGTAAAAATGCATTTGATCTAAAGCTCGTATTTCTGATAACTAATCAGTCCACGACTATACCTCATAGTTTTTTTTTTAAGTAGGACTAACTACATGCAAATGGAAATAGATATTTAATGTTGTTAAATAAGAATAATGATGATTCTATCCTTTCAAAATCAAACTGGGCATTACCACAAGACAAATACTTAGCAAAAACTTGGGTTGTTTTATTCTTTTGGGATATGTCACATAAACTCATTATAGAAACCAACTCTTAGATAAATCTGTGAAATGAATTATCAGCTAGATTTTGAATAGTTGAATGATTCACATCCCGCTTTTGAATTCATTTCCCTGCTTTTTTGTGTAGCGTAGAGATAGAAGTGTTCTTGAACGAATGGACTGTACTTTAGCATAGCCTAGTGGCTAAGGAACAGTATTAACTTAAAACTCAGAAATACTATTCCTGTTTTTATTAAATAAAATTATTTTCCTAATTCAAAGGTTATTTTCTCAATGAAAAGAAAGGCAAAATAAAATGGAATTAATGAGACAAATGACTATTATGACAATTAACTATAACTGAAAAGGAAAAAGAAGAAAATTAAATTTGCTCTCACAAATATGTGGAAGCATTATGACCCCAATCTATCAGAGCTTTGCATGCAACTGATTACTTTTATGGTAAAAAATGGATAAAGATTTTATGAGTATGTAACTATAGAGTTTTTTCATAGTTAAGAATTCATATTTTTTTCCATAGTTAAGATGAAATCTCAGCAAAACCACTGCCATACAAATCTCATATTTCTTTTTGTGTAGCATCATGCTTGACTATTTACACGTTTGTTGAATGTATGGACGGATTGAAAAATTTTGACATTGTCATAAATAAAACTCTCCAGTTTAATTTACATCATAAAGCTATAAAAGACATTGGCCCCATCTCTTGCTGCAGAGGAGAGACAGCAGTTCATCCTGTAGCAGCAAAAATGGGGTAAGCACCAGGGTGGCTGCCTTGTTGTGACTCCACACCTCCCCAGAGAGCAGCCCAGCTAGGCATTTAGGGGCTGGGGTATCATACCTATGTAAACTTCATTCACATACTTAAAATTTCAACATTGTGTTTGCTCATAAAGTGAAATGACTGCACTCTAATAAAGTTACATTATTTATTTTTTGATTTCCAACTAATTTAGGGGACAGTCTAATGACCAAAGGGAAGAAAATCTTATTTGTGTCTAGGTGGCGTTTGCTTGGAGGATCCAGGCCTTACATAAAAGACAAGTCTGCTCTTTCCCAGAGAAAATTGATTTCTCATTTTAACCCTACCTTTTAGAATGACTTGCCTGTATGTTCTCGTCTAAAATAATTGTTTTGACATCCTGTACCTGAACCTATATATTGATCATTCATATTCTGAGGTTGAATTTGCCGCAGTCCAGCTTATCCTGATTTCACAGAAATCCTACTTTTGTCTCTTGAACTATATTAATAATATCTTTGTTTTAATGACATCATTTGACTTTATTCAGAAGAATATGCTTGAGAGAAAATGGAAGTGTA